ATCTCACCAACTTACATCACAACATCAAAATCACACATCTAATTATTTATCAATTACATAAACATTACATCATTAATTATTTAATTAACCAAAAAAATTACATCTTTATTAATAACAAATTAATTTTTAAACAAAACTATATAAACTAGGCAAATGTGCATTGCACGTTGTTTGCACCTAATATACATAAAAGTCCCAAAGATTGATCTTAATTGTTAGCATTGTAAAAAAAAATTCCGCTCTGCACGGAGTCACGTACACGGACTGCACGGACACAGTGTCTCCGCGCTGCGCAGAGATTTTTACTTTCTTTAAAGTAGTGCTAACAATAAGTCTCCGCGCACGAACATGGACTGCGCAGACACGGTGTCTCCGCGCTGCGCAGAGATTTTTATTTTTTTTAAAGTAGTGCTAACAATAAAGATGTTTGGAACCAATTTCTAAGATAAAATCAAATTCTTCAAAATAGAAACACAAATCAAATTATTCAAACTCCAATACGTCGTTTTTTACAGTAGATTGAGGAAAAAAAAATGGAAATGGATATATATAAGACGTGTATAAAATGGATATAAGACTTATGAAATCATAAAATTGGAGAACTGGAGGAGTGAAAAATGGGAAAATGAACAGCAACATCTCATTGGTTACTATTGCATCTAAGGTACCCAAAACTGCATTTTTTATATAATAGTGATATACTTCTCTATTTTTCATCTAATTTTATAATATGATCAACTTTAACTCAACTTTTTAGCAACATGTAAGCTTTCCCTTGGGTTGGACAAAACTCCCAAATCGAATCGGACCGAACTGGACCCGAGTCTAATCGAACTGAATCGAGTGGTTCTTCATAAATTAAATACTCGAACGAGTATTTGAATAGAGAACCGATGGATTTAGTTTGATTCTCGGTTCTAGACCAAGAACCCAAGAATCGAATTTAAATAATTTTAATTTTTTCTAAACAAATTAGCAAATTAACTAATTTATTAATTAATGCTACAACTCTCAAACCAAGTCCATGTCTAGCTAGCCTGGCCCAACCCAATTTTTTCTTATTAAATCTTATTAGTTGAACAATTTTTAGTTCATTTGTGTTTGTTAATTGTGTTTTTTCAATTATACTTGTAAAGTTTCTTAGTATGACAAGTCAAGTAATTGATGATTAAATCAAATAGTTGGTAGGTATTACCAATACTTAAAAATATTTTATTTTTATAACTTTTAATTTATATTTCATTTTCTTTATGCATGCTGCTTGAAGCAAATGAATTATTGATATGGACTTTTTTTTTTTTTTTATGTAGACTGCTTGAAGCAAATGAATTATTGATATAGATCACCGATTTTTAGCATTAGTATATACTTTTTGGTATTTATATACATTGAATTAATTTTATTGGACAACTATATATTTTTAAATTGGACTACGATAATTTGTAAAATGTACGAATGAATATATTATTAGTTGTATTTACGTAGTGTTGTTGTAAATATTAAAAATTTTAATTATGGTACGAAATCGAACAAAATCGGGCAGAATCGAATTGAATCGAACTCGAACGGTTCCATAATTATATTTGAATCCGATGACTCTATTTATTAAATATTCAAAAATTTTGGTTCAATTAGATTGTCTTCAGAATTGAATCTAACGGAACCGAACGGAACCGAACCTAACGGAACCGAACCGAAACATTCCCAAACAAGCAAAAGAAGCTGCCTCTAGGGTTTGGTTTTTTCATTGGTTATTCTCCTCCCTGCCCCTCTCTCCCCCTTCTAATACTCAACTTTTCTTTTCTTCTCGATTTGCAACCGCCAACCACACTATCTCCGTAGCTCGCAAAGGTGATTCCTAAAATAATATACAGATATATATGTGTGTACTGTACGAGCTTTATTAATTAGTAATTTTCTTGGAATTATTAATTTCAGGTTTGTGTTTATAGGGAAGTGCGTGTGTTTGTGCTTGATTGGCTTAGTGTCAGGTCCTTTTGGTGCTTGACTTATTTTTAGTATATGTATATTTTGATTTTATAGCTTAGTTTCTGCGTCATTAATTGAATGCATAAAATTAGGTTCCCCTGTTCTTTTTACTGTATATTTAGTATACTGCAGATTTTCGAGAAATTGGGCTTTGTGATTTTACTGTGACATTTCATTGGTCAAGGCTTATTTGTTTTTCAAAGCCTCTTTTTGGTACTTTTTATGTAAATTTATGATCGTTGTATGAGTTGCTTATAAATGCCTGAGGCTTAGCACTGGAGGGAGGCCATCATTAGGCGTCTTAAATCTTACATTTAGATTGTTAGATTATGCCTTTGCCTTACCTTTTTTTGGGCTGAATTTAAAGCCTAGAATATTTTAAATGGTTTTTTTTTGAGCTATTTTAAGCACAACTCAATTATAAAAAACAAACAATAATTGGAGAAGAGATGAGAGAATATTTAGCCTCTGTTTGGTGGGCTTTTTTTGGAAAAGTATTGTTTTGAATAGTGATTTTTTGGACAATGTGTGAATAAAAAGTAGATAAAAATTTTGGGTTTCTGTGTAAAATATTTTATTGCGTGAATACGTGGTAGAAAATGAGTATGTAGAAAAAAGAGTTTCGAAAGAATTGAAGATAAAAAGGGGCTTAAAGGTGTTTTTGAGCTATTTTTATGACAACTCAGTTATGAAAACCAAACAAAAAGAATTGGAGAAGAGAGGAGAGAACGTTTATAGGGGTTTTTGAGATATTTTAAGCACAACTCAATTATTAAAAAAATAAAAATAAGAAGAATGGGAGAAGATAGGAGAGATTATGTGAAGCTGATTTGCTTGAGCATCCTATTACTGAAGTTGGATAAACTCCTCTCTCTAGTGAAGTTGCAAATTCACAACTTTACAGCCAATGAAGGAGACTCGTGGCATATAACTGCAGTCTTTTGTGCCTTGTTTATTAGTTTGGTATTATTTTTGTTTCTGTTTTATTTTCTCTTTATCCTTTTTCTTTTCATTCTTAAATGGACTGTTAGTTTTTTTATTTGTTTTAGAATTTTAGTTCTACTTGGGGATTAATGGTCCTGATATGTGATCACAACTTTTGATAATTTATTACTTGATACTTTGTTGATGTATTTTAGGTTTCAAGTGGCAAATTAGATTTTTAATTTTGTTAACATACTTCATTGTGCATTTTTAGATAGTTGATGGTTTATTACGAGTATAATTTTGTCACATTGCTTGTAATGTATGCTTTAGTGAAATGACTGGCCTGTTTTTCTTCTTTTTGAAAAATTGTAGAGCTTAATACCATTTATTGTTGCCCTCTTTATTAATGGGAATTTATTTTCTTAAATAAAAGAATTGCTATTCATGTCACTGTTACTTCAGTATTCTTTTATTACGATTGCAATGATTTTAGTTTTAGTAACTTGTTACTTAAGTATTTTATGATTACGGTTGCAATGATTTTGGTTTTAGTAACTTGTCATATGAGATTTCCCCAGAGAAAAACGTCTGCGGGATAACTCTATGCTTATATTAGTGCCCTATGGCTCATGTGGGACAATTAGTTCTAGTTACCACTTTTGGAGATATCACTTGCCTGCAAGGTTTTTTTGGCTTTTCTTCATGCTGTTTGTTGCTGCCTGGTTGCTAAGATCTTCCTGAATTTAGTTTTGCCTTATGAAATATATTTTAAGCTGTATTTGGGACATTAAGAAATTCTTGGCAGTTCTTGGATGAACTCCTTATATTGTTCATTGACAGATGAATGTGGAAAAGCTAATGAAGATGGCTGGTTCAGTCCGAACCGGTGGGAAAGGTACCATGAGAAGGTTTGTATTTTCTATATCATTCCATGTTTTTTTACGTTCTTCACAAATATGAACACACTTTGTTGAAATGGGCGTCCTGATTTGTGTATGGAGTACGTATAGGTTTTGTATTAAGCTGGAACAAGAAGTTGGATAGAGTTAGTGTATTCTCTATCAAAGTTGTATTATATATGCCTTCAATTGCAGAAAAAAGAAGGCTGTTCACAAGACAACCACCACGGATGACAAAAGACTTCAAAGCACCCTGAAGAGAATTGGCGTGAATGCAATACCTGCAATTGAGGAGGTCAACATTTTCAAAGAGGATGTAGTCATCCAGTTCGTTAACCCTAAAGGTACACACAGTGAAATTTGAATCTGCACTTCGTCTTTTAGATTGGCGCTAACTGTTGTTTTCTTTGTTATTTAGTTCAAGCTTCTATTGCTGCCAACACTTGGGTTGTTAGTGGCACTCCTCAAAACAAAAGTATGTTTCTCGTCTTTTCTTGAAAAGTTACAATGGTTTCTTTTTTGTCTTTCATCTAATGGTGATTTGAATGTTTCTATATTTTTATTCTAGACTTCAAAACTGGGTTTTTGTCTGTGATTTCGTTCGTTTCTTAACATCTTTGTTGTCTGTATCATGACCTTCGCGTGATGTTGTTACAGAATTGCAAGACATTCTTCCTCAACTTATTCACCAATTGGGTATGCATCATTCCTGTTTCTTGTAGTATTTTGTTGTTTGATTGCTGCTATATGACTCTGATTAATCGAATGTTTTAACCTGAAAAATTCAGGTCCAGATAACTTGGAGAATCTGAAGAAATTGGCAGAGCAGTTCCAGAAGCAGGAGCCTGGTTCTGGTGCTACTTTGGAACAGAAAGATGATGAAGATGAGGTGCCTGAACTTGTCGATGGTGAGACCTTTGAAGCCGCTGCAGAGGAGGGTCACACATCTAAGTAGTTCGTAGATTCGCGCCATCTATATATCAGAACTGTTTTTGGGGGTTTTGGTCTTTAAGTGATCTAATCGATGTTTAGCGTGGCATTACTAGAAAGTTGTTACTTCATTGTTGTAATCAGTAACCAACCTAATCAGTCCACCTCTGACCGAAGCCAAATTACTGGCCATTAATTTTCTTAATGAATCTATTGAGTGGAGTGTGACTAACCATGGTTACAAAAATCAATATGATGTTACTGGTAATGTTCCAATTCCCATGAATATTGCATCATCAACAATAAAACTAATGTACAAAGTTGAATTACAAAAGTCAGGTTACAAAGTGTGTTGGCAAAATTCAGACCGTTGATTTCAAATGATTTAAAAATATGTTTTATTTTTAAAAGGAGTGGTATAAATGTTATTTTGTAATCCAACTTCGTACATGTAGCATAAATTGAATCATCAATGTTATATCTTTCACATATTAGATGAGCAATATTGGACGAGTCCTCTCGTCCAATTGAAACCGTTTTGTGGGAGTTCTTTATTATAATGGAATGTTATCATAAAAAATTAGATTTCTTGATAAATTTTTGGTGTCAAATTGTAAAAAAATTCTATTGAAATTTTGCAATGTCATTTTGCAATAATAAGATTTTATATTATTATTACATCATTTACCAAACTATGTTGATCATTTACAAAGCTAGTTTGATTATATTTAGCATTATAGCGTTATACTAATTAATTGTTGATTATAAATTAAATGATATTATAAGTAGTAATTGTATAGCCCACATATCACATCATTTACCAAACTATGTTGGTTATATAATTCATATATATAATATATTTGCTGATGTCACTAATTTAGGTAGTTAGAATGTTTTCATCATGTTAATTTATTTTTATATATTTATTGTTTGTAAGTTATCAATGAGTATGATTTACGTTTTTAGTAAATATTAAATGAGTTTGGTATACGTCATCAATAAAAAAAAATTAAATTAAATGTAAGGATACTTTAATAGTAGTCTGATATATGCAGTTTGAGATCGTAACAATTGAGAATAAACATGTTAATTAAATTATTCTTATATAATGTAGTCGATTTTATGAAAATTTATTAAATATCCGAGGTTACAAGTTATTGGAATATTAATTTAGAGATAAACTTTTTAAGTATAGAGTCAGTTTGAGCTTTATTTTATTATAAGAATACATTTTGGAATAATAGATTAATGAAGAATGTGTGGTTAAAAAATAAGAAATTTTTTTGATTTGCGTGTAATATTATTTCATTAAAGAATGTGTGGTTAAAAAAAGAACAAAAAATGTATTTGAAATTGTATTTTGAAGATAATGAAAATCAAATAAGGGCATATCATTACATAGGGATGGCAACGGTTCGATTCGGGGTCGGTTCAGTCAAAATTATAACCGAGTCATCAAATTTTTGGCCATACCATTAGGGGTGGGCGCGGGTCGATTCGGTTCGGTTCGGTTCGATTTTTTTCGGTTCCAGAAATTTTCGGGTATTTAGTAAATGGAACCGTCGGTTCCAAATATAATTTTGGAACCGTCGGTTCCAAATATAATTTTGGAACCGTTCGGTTTCGGTTCGGTTCGGTTCTTTTCGGTTCCGTACTATAATTAAATTTTTTAATATTGAAAGTGATCGAATTGGAGAATGACGTCTGAATCAAAGTTGTAGCCAGATGAGTTAGCTTTCCAACGCATTTTGAATCGCCTCAATCGGATATCGGAATACAAAGTTATGATAAAAACACTGAAAGAAGGTGCAGTTGCCTGTTTAAAATAAGAAATTCCGTTACATAGTCCGTTGAAACAACAAATTCCGTTAGTTTTTCCGTTAAAAATAAGAAATTCCGTTACATAGCCACTTTTAATATATAGAAGATAAGAATACATTTTGGAATAGTAGATTAATGAAGAATGTGTGGTTAAAAATAAGGAAATTTTTTAGACTTGCGTGTAATATTATTTTATTAAAGAATGTGTTGTTGAAAAAAGAACAAAAAATGTATTTGAAATTGTATTTTGAAGATAATGAAAATCAAATAAGTGCATATCATTACATAGGGATGTCAACGGTTCGATTCGGGATAGGTTCGGTCAAAATTATAACCGAGTCATCAATTTTTTGGCCATATCATAACTACGTAAGTCGGTTCGGTTCGATTAATAACCACGAAAATAAATTATTTTTTATAAGTCTAAACTTCAACCGTCAAATTGAAAAAAAATTATGAAGAAAAATCAATAAAAACAAAAACACAATACTAAGCCAATTTAGCAAACAAAATCC